AAAATTTAATTAAAATATTTTCATTTATATAAGATTTAAAATTTTATTTTTTCTTAATTAAAAAAAAAAAGTTTGACAGATCCATACCAAAGGAAATTTTCCTTTGTTTTTTTTTATTTTTCGGAAACTTTAGATTACAACTTTGATTTTAACTTCTTATTTAATTTGAAAGAAATAAATTAAATAAAAAAATATCATTCTTTCTTATTTAATTATGTTAAAATTACAAAAAAAAATTAAAGAAAAACTTTTTTTTATACATAGATATTAGAGATTAAAGGTTAAACATTATAGCTATAATTAAGAGTCTAAATAATTCTATTATTAGATTATAATTTCATTTAACGACACCTTTGTATTTTATTTTTTAATTTTTATATCTTTTTATAAATTTAAAAACATATAAAATATTATCAAAAATTTCTCTCTCGCCGCCGCTAGGGTTTCCCACAACGGCGTGCGAGCCTCTCACCTAGGTGCTTCTCCTTGGTTTTTTCAGGGCCCCTCTTCCTCTACGTCTTATCCTTTGTCTCGATTTCTCTATCCCCTTCTTGGATCTTGGCGTAGAGGAGAGATCGGGGCGCAGGCGGTGAAGGGACCTGGTGCAGGGCGCGCGCACGGGGTGCGAATGTGGGCATGGGCAAAGGTGCAAGCTTGGGGCGCGGCAAGGGCAGGGGCGTGGTGCAGCAGGAGGCTCGTCTGGGTGCAGCAGGCGGCTCGTTTGTGGGTGGACCCTGTGTTTTCCAGATCTAGAAGAGCTTTGGTTTTTGCACATGCTGAGCATCATATTCCTCTTTGAAACAATGCACTCCACTATTGCGATGCCTCTGTTTTGCTTAGATCTAGGGTATCCGAGTGGTAGTCATTGGAGGCTGATTGGTTTTTTCAGTCGTAAGCCCAAGGAAAAGGATGAGGTTGGTAAAGTCGCTACGGGGAAGAATGTTGCTTCAGTCTTAAGGGGCTCTAGTTCCCTTATTGAAATTTGGCAACAAGGGTTTGCAAAGGATTGGAATAGTTAGGGCATGGTTGAGAGCCCAGGGCGACAAGAGAGGTGCCTGGGTTTGTATAGAGGATCATAGCCCTCCTATTTGATTGAAACTGTTTTAGGGACGACATATAGTGGGTTGGGGACTGCTGATGTCGAATTTTCCCTGCTCTCCCCGTGAAGCTGGCTAAATAGGTGAGGACGTCCAGTAGTTTCAGACACTCATAGCGACCTCCTTTTCTACTTTTGTAGCCCTATTTTAGCCTATACAACGATTGTAGCTATAATCTTTAGTTACAGATGGCCCTTTCCGCTTAATTGTTCATATATGTCATGGGCACAGTTTAAATTTATTACTAATGCTGTAAGTTATGTTTCTGTCCTTAATATGGCTATAATGCCTTGCTAGAGATTCATCTGTAATCTCCTTATATTTAATATAATTTTTTATTTTCTATCAAAAAAAAAACATATAAAATATTAATCAAAATAAATATTAATATATAAAAATGTATTTTATATTTTACCACCTTTCATTCTTTTCAAATTTTATAATGCAAATAAGAAAATATCATCCCGTCCTTTCCCTTCCCCTAACTCCAAGAAAAGATTAAATAAACACTCCCACCAAACCCAGCTGCGGATCTCCCAACTAACCGCTCGAACTCTATACAGCTATATACACTGGGTTGCTCACTCTTTTTTTCTGTTTCTCCAATCCGCACACTGTTAATCTCATTATTATCTAGCGCTCTCGCTCCCTTGTTCTTCCGAGAAACCAGATTCCGATCCCGAATCAGATCTGGTTTTCGCCAGCCAATTTCACGCTTCCAATTGCTAATGCGTTTCAATTCACCGCTTGCTTTCGCTTGATTCTTCTGTTTTTCGCAGTTGCCGAAAAATGCTGATTTTCAGTCCGGTGACTCCCGGCCAGGTACATGTCTCCCCCGCCGTTGGGAAGAATTTCGCATTTTCATCCCTCATTTGAGTATTCCTCCTTGATTTATGATAATTGCAGCTATCGGCACTTCTCGGATTCGTGCCTATCGTCGCCGCTTGGATCTATGCAGAGTATTTGGAGCACAGGAAGAACTCGGTTCCGGTTAAAGTGTGAGTTTCTGTGCATTTAGGGAACGGCGAATTGAGGTAATGCTAATTTTTGTTATGAACTGAAGTTGCTTTCTTCTGTTAGTAGGCACTCCGACGTGAATTTGGTCGAAGTCGGGGTTGAGGGCCTTGAGGCAGTGAAGGAAGATGATAGAGCGGTTTTGATAGAGGGTGGAGCTGTTCAGTCGGCTTCTCCTAGGTCTCGGACTTCATCCGCCTCGTCTCCTATCTTCAGGTTTGTCATTGAGTGAGAGCCATTGATGTGCCTTAATTTGATCCGCTTCAGTAATTATTTAGTTCCTAATTGCTTATGTCCCGTTGTTTCTTTTCAGATTCCTTATGATGGATGAGGCTTTCTTGATTGAAAATCGACTAACGCTTAGAGCCATGTATGTGTTTTATTTCTTTAATTTTGAAGAGTTGGAACATGTTTGTTGTTTCATTCTTTGAATTAATGTTGCCTTCTGGTTTCCATCTTTTCTCTCCTGGTTCAGATCCGAATTTGGTGCGCTTCTGGCATACTTCTATATATGCGACAGGACTGATGTTTTTGGTTCATCAAAAAAGGTGAAGTATTATTATTATTATTATTTTGGTTTATAGATCTCTATACCTGATGTGGTACATCTTTTGATGTTGGTGAATTATGTGGCTAAAAATAGATTTTTAATCATTGGAGGGAATTCTGAAGCGTTTCTTGTCCCAAGTTTCGATATAGTGTTGTATCATGTCTTTGAAATTTTAAAGTTAGCTAGGGTAGTCACTTTGAATGTGTTTCCATGATTGCCATTCATTATATATTAGTCTCCTACCTTCTACAATTATACTGAACTTGAATTTCTTTATTGAATTTTGTCTTTACACTACTTTTTTTTAATTTGTCAATTCTGTAATTTATATTGGTTATGCAGAAAACTATTCTAATGTTTTCAAAAAATTGATGTTAAAAATCATCTTTTAAGCCGGGATTTACATTTCATCTCTATTTTTGGGTTTGATTAATAAATGGATGCATGGTAGATGATTGTTTTTCAATGTTTAAAGCTAATTCAAGTTAGTTAGCAGATGCTAATTAGGCTCCTCTTTCATCCATTTTCTTTCCATGCAGAGCTACAATCGGGATCTTTTCCTATTTCTCTACTTCCTTCTCATCATCGTTTCTGCAATAACTTCTTTCAAGATACATCATGATAAATCACCATTTTCGGGGAAATCTATTCTTTATTTGAACAGACATCAAACTGAGGAGTGGAAAGGTTGGATGCAGGTTTGTGATTCATTCATATAATGTTCTAAATCCTCAAAATCTTCTCATAACATTTTGGTATGTCTAGAATGATAAAGATTTCAGTGTATGTTTCTTGGTCAGAGAGGATTTCACTGTATCTTCTCATAATGTTTGCTTCTGCCTTGTACAGTTTCTCTGGTTCTTGTTTGGGTCCATGTTTGTTACATAAAAACCCCATGCATATTGTAGCACATAAAACTCTCATCGCTTACTTCTTCTTTTTCTATCTTATCTTACAGGTCTTATTTTTGATGTACCATTACTTTGCTGCCGCAGAGATCTATAATGCTATTCGACTTTTCATTGCTGCGTATGTGTGGATGACTGGATTTGGTAATTTCTCATATTATTATGTGCGTAAAGATTTCAGTCTTGCAAGGTTTGCCCAGGTATGAGGTACCACAAGGTTACAAGAATTTGAGTTCCATGTTTAATTTTATTCTAATGGTTTGTATTACTGGTTGAGCAGATGATGTGGCGTCTCAACTTCTTGGTCTTATTTTGCTGTGTTGTTCTTAACAACAGTTACATGTTGTACTACATTTGTCCCATGCATACTCTGTTCACTCTTATGGTTTATGGGGCCCTTGGTATTATGAACAAGTATAATGAGAATGGTTCAGTCATTGCTGTAAAAATCATTGGCTGTTTCTTGGTGGTCGTTCTAATATGGGAGATTCCTGGAGTTTTCGAACTAGTCTGGAGTCCATTTGCTTTCTTTCTTGGTGAGTGACTCCCAAAGCATTAAGTCTTTACATGAAGACATTTCAAGCAAAACTTACTTAACTACCTTGAAACATTACAGGATACACCAACCCTGATCCTTCAAAACCAAAGTATTCCCGCTTGCAGGAGTGGCATTTCCGTTCAGGCCTCGATCGTTATATATGGATAATTGGAATGATATATGCCTACTATCATCCTACCGTAAGATCTGATGCACGATGTTTTATCTTCTGATTCTTTTCCTTGAACTTTCTAGGAATTAGAGTAATTTTTCTTGAAGGGTGGTTGGGTAAATAATGGAGAATCCATTGACCACTTTTTTTTCCCCTCAAGAATCAATGTTGTACTTGGGAATTTATTGTTGTAGGTCGAAAGATGGATGGAGAAACTGGAGGAAGCAGAAGTGAAACGGCGGATATCAATCAAAATGGCTGTAGTGCTGACAGCGTTAACGGTATATACATGCCTTTAAATGGAACTCTTTTCTTAGATTTCTAATTTTTTATGTTTGATGCATGTAAGATTGTAAAAAACTTGCAGACGGGCTTTCTCTGGTATGAGCATATATACAAGCTTGACAAGATCACTTACAATAAGTACCATCCTTATACTTCATGGATCCCAATCACGTATGTTCACACAACTGTTTTACTATTAGCATATGATAATATGTTTGCTTGTACTCATGTCTTGTCTCTTTTTTTTCTGAACAGTGTCTACATATGTTTGCGAAATGTCACCCAGTCTTTACGTAGCTACAGTTTAACCCTTTTTGCGTAAGTATTCATTGGATTCCCTCCTAGGAGATGATTACAGGATATGCATTATTTGAAAACAGAAACAAAGATCATCAAGGAAGAATTTTAATATATCACGGCAATCTTGTCTGATTCTATCTTTTCTTCCTTCTGTCTAGATGGCTTGGGAAGATAACATTGGAGACCTACATCTCACAGATCCATATTTGGTTAAGGTATTTTGAAGTAAATACATAAATGTTTGCTAGTGATATCCATTTTCATTCGCCACAATTTCCTGGTTCTTTACTACTTGCATGTGGCAGTAAATGCAACCTTTCAAATTTGCTGCATGTAAAATTTTACTTATTATTAATAAATATCTAATCAAATTGCAGATCAGGAGTTCCAGATGGTCAGCCTAAATTGTTACTTTCTTTGATCCCACACTATCCACTCTTGAATTTCATGCTTACCACTTCCATATACATTGCAGTAAGTGAACAAAATCCTAATTTTTTATGGCTGTGAAATATCATCCTAGTTGGAATTCTCAGTTATTATCTTACTTGAATTATGTTCTTTGTCTTGGATGCAGATTTCATACAGACTCTTTGAGCTGACAAGCATACTGAAATCAGCATTTGTGCCCACTAAAGACAACAAGTGCCTTATGTACAACTTGATTACAGCTGTAGTAGTCTCCACTGTTTTATACTCATTATCCTTGGTGTTCATAAGACTCCCTCAGATGATGGTAAGAGTTTATCCTCTAATTTTTTTTACTGAAATCATTTAGCATCCATTGCAGAAAACCTAAAGGGTGAGCAAGAGCAATAAAGTTCTGTGGAGGCATGTGGTTCCTTGATAGGATATCATTTGCCAAGAATCCTTTATTGTTTTCCTAAATGCCTTTTTTTTTTTTCTTTTCTTTTTTTTCTTTATTTCTTTATTTCTTTTTTTTTTTTAATGTTTTTGGGTGGTGGGGAGTGGGTGGATTTCTATAAGAGCCAGGGATTGAGTTATACCACAAACTATGCCAAAGTTTTATCGTTCTTAAATATTAATGGAGACTAATGCATGATTTATCTTATATCACAGACTGTAATGTTGTTCATTCTTTTGAAAGTTGCAGGCGTGAGTACAAACGTAGGAATTCCAAAGAAGGCTACAAGCCGTGCATCAGTTTTTCTGAATTCTGGAACTCCATTCAACTGCCATAATGCCTCCTTTATCGAAAGCAAAGAATTAATCATATGATTAATCACATGATTGCTAATGGAGAATCAGAGTCACAACTCAAGTTAGTAAACATCTGTTGTAATTATATGGGTAAAGATAGGAAAGGGACAAACCCTCCGATTGAGGTATTAGTGTTTTGTCATTGCTTTCTACAATTTTCCAATATTATTCAAGTGACAACATACGAGTTTAATGCGGGATTCATCATTGTGCGTAAACTGACGTTCATATTTTATTCACTTTTTATTATTAGTGTTAGCCCCCCATAGCCGTAATTGAATTGTAAACTGATATTTGCATTAATTCACTTGCATACAACTATAATACTACATGCACATGATCAAAGTTTTGGGCGAACTGCAAATTCTGAAGCACACAAGAAAAATAAGGCTTGCCGATAGCTAGATCAAGATTTGATCTCATTCCCTCAGTTCGATTTAAATTTAGGATCAGTACATTCAAGTGGTGATGTTCTATAGCATCAAGAATGGTATCCAAGGAATAAAGGGAATGTACCAAAATTTTGAAAGGAACCTCACAAATCACAATAACATAAGTTTGGTACACACTGTTAAATCAGTTTGCAAATGTCAGGATAACGTTGGCCATGAGAAGCAGCAGCAGCAATTTGGCCTTTCTTCCAAGCAGGTGGCGGCAGATCTTCCTCAGAATATATGCACAATGTCATAAGCAAATCTACTTGTGTTAAAGAAAGCAGCAAAAGAAACCCTGTTCAAAAAAATAAAATGGTCCTACAAATCTCTAACGAGCTTTTATTTTTGGGTGATGCCTTATCTATTAGGTAATCCAGTTAGATTAGTATACACAGAAAATGTAAGAATCATGTGGATGTTTGTTTCAAGAGTCATAATCTGACTTGAGTCAACCACAAGTGCCCATTGTGTGCCTGTGCCCTAACGCTAAAATAGAATGCAATGTTGGTAAGGATACGTCCAGAACAGCACGAATGACTGCAGAAAAAGAATATAGAGATGCCATAAGTAGCAGGACATATTAAAGAACAGGAATAAATAAATAAATAAATAAAGTGCATCCATGCTACTAAATGTAATACCGTCTTCTATCATTCACAAGTACACTCAAAATAGTAATACCAAATCAGAGCATGTAGTGAAAAATGCTAGCCTCGAAAAGAAATAACACATTTTACATTGACAATGCTACCCACTAATACCAACTTAAGTAACTTCGGATGAATCAAAACCATTCATGGCTTACCCAGTTGGTCCTATCCTATCTTAATACTGTTGTCCAAATACAGTTCCAGAGGAACAATAGCTTTCCAATACCATTGTACATGCCACATGCAAGATTAAATGTTCTCAGCCACACACCTTGATTGATGGTAGTTCTCCCCACCCAAAAAGAAATCAGGATGACAAACCAAAAAGCTTTAATATGTTAAAAGTAGAATATTATATGATGAGATTTGCACAGCCAGTTAACGAATTTGTAATCAGCTATCAACCCATAAAGATAAGAAGCTTACCATGAGACCACCCATAAATCCATCGAGTAATATCCTATTCCAGCTATCGAAGTATGAATTAACTGAAAACTTTGCTTTGGCTATGAGCCCAACTGAAGTAATTGCCATGACAAGAAAATAGAAGATAAACCCGGTCAAGCCTGTGAACCCTAAAATTCCAGCAACAACCCCACCAATGATGGACATGAATGTTCGGCTGCAAACAAAAACCATGCACAGGTGTTATGTAAGCATTCAGTAATGCATATAAAGTGTGCCATGTAACATATAAGATCTTTTCAACCAATCTTAACTCATGCTTGTTCTCAAGTAACTAGAATGATATGTCAAAACAAACCTGTAATAGATAATTTTCATGTTACTTTGCAGATTCTCTGCACTAAAGGTTGGTACATCATTCGTGGCCTCACTTGATTTCTTCTCAGATGAACCTGAATCACTACGCCCAGCCATAACTTCCACTATGTGTGATAATATGTTGCTGAAAGATGAGAAACAGATGAGATGGATGGACCATCAACGAGACTTCAAATACAGATCCACACTCTTAGACTCTTGTATCCAAGGAATAAAAATCTTCAAACTTTTAAGCACATTAACACAATAACCCAAAGGTCCTGAACAGCACAGAATATTAACAAGGAAACAAACTCCAAGCATTCCAACATTTCATTATCACACAATTACACAAAAGTTTTTTGTTGAAGGGGATGCTTAAACAGGATCCTACTGAGATTATAACTAGGCTCGAACCATCAAAACATTCTTTCAATGCTGCAGTAGGATGGTCAGCTAAAGTCATCAACAGAGTAAACCCTATATCATTGAAAATATTGT